ACGGGGAAAGTTTATTAATTCGACTAATACTGCAACATGGTTTCAGCATTTTACCGTTGTACGCTCTCCTTCTTTATATGCTCTTGATAGTAAGCAAAGTAAATACGGTGGAGAAATGTATGCTAGGTAATGCACGATGCCTCATGAATTCACACGCGTGCAGAGCTATCGCTATTTGGAGTTTACTTGTAAATAAATGTTAACGGATGGAGGGGGCAAAAACGCTACCTCTCAGCACACGCACGTGATCTGGCTGGCTTGATTAGGTGCATCGTGGGTTCTCACGACCTGCGCGCGATAGGCCGTGACCCGGGGGGTGTATTCATTCTGCGGCGCGTCTACGACTACAGGAGTCACTGTTGGTTCGTGCCTGCGCACAACTAGCATGCTTTGCGGGTGGCGAGCAACGCAAGGATAGGTTTATATAGTGGATTATATTCTATATAGTAGATTACGTAGTGGCGAGCGACTTAAGGACCGCCCACCCAACCCTGCACATGTCTGCTATTCACTTTCTTATCAGAAATATGCTTTGTATGACATTATCAATAAAGCTGGTTGGCAGGGGGGTGTTGGTCGCTCCCGTGGCGTCGCACTCACGCGACCCGCGTGGGCTGTTGCTCGGCTTCGCGAGTCTGCGCGTTTACGGGGGCGGGCCGTTCCGGCGCGCGCAATCATCCCGACCGCACGCGCAAACGTACGTGCGCTGTGGCCGGGTGCGCGCGGGACTCTTCTCCCATAATGTGGCAACAACGTATTCAGGTGTTTGCGTCTATATGCTGTTAACCGCGCAGAAAAAGTCGGTTGCGCGGTGTAATTCATTTCGCGCGCCGAGGACTTTGGCGACGACGAGACGTTAACATAACACTGCGACGAAGGCGTACCAGTTCTAGATGCATGAGCTTGACGCAGTCCTTTAGAATTCGCATCGGTACAGCGAGCAGACGACTGAAGGCCAGGATTGCGTTGGGCTTGTATGGAGTGCAGGCTACCTTACACTCGAATGCAGTCTCCAGGACTTGGAGCTCCTCCACACTCCACTGATCCTGCAATTCTAGTGCACAAACAAAAGTACAATATATAAATTATATAACATACAATATACATAAAAGGGAATTTTTATTTGGCAGCTCTCTAATAGTCGTAACCAAGCAAAAAATACGAGAGGGCTTCCTTTAGCAAGCAAACATGTAGCTCCAGGCAGGGTAGGCAAGATAGCAGAGCAGATCAAAATAGCAAACACGCGTGGCAAGTTGGTATGCAGTCGGTTAACCACTTACACATGAAGAGATGTGTAGCTATGCAGACATGTAGAGAAGCAGAGAGATAGATGGGCGGCCATAAAGGCAGGAATCACATGTAAGAAGAGCGTCGAACATGCTGGGCAGTGAACACATGGAAGAAGAGAGCTGAACATGTGCGAGGAACACATGAAGAAGAGGGTGAACATGCTGCAGGAAAACATGGTAGAACAGCGGTAACATGCTAGCGGAATCACATGGAGGAGAGGTGGAACATGTGGCAGGAATCACATGGAGGACAGCGTGAACATAGCTGGGCAGGATACGACATGGAGCGACAGGGTGCAACATGCTGGCAGGAATCCATGGAGGACAGCGTAAACATGCATGGCAGAATCAACATGAGGACAGTAGTGAACATGCATGGCAGAAACATGATGGAGGACAGAGCTGAAACATGCTGGGCCAGGAAACACATTGGAGGACAGTGCTGAACATGCTGCAGGAATCACATGATGAGGACAGCGTGAACTGCTGCAGGAAACACATCGAAGACAGATGTGAACATGGCTGGCAGGAACACATGGAAAGAAAGAGTCGGCTTGGTGAAGTGCTGGCCAGAAACACATTGGCATGACAGGTGAACATGCTGGCAGAAATCACATGGAGGGACAGAACGGTGAACATGCTGGCAGGAACACATGGAAGACAGTGTGACAATGTGGCGCAGGAACACCATGGGAGGGCACAGAGCAGTGAACATGCTGTGCCCGCAGGCAACACATGAAGACGAGTGATGTGAACATGCTGGCAGGAACGACAGATCCGGCTCGATACGGTACCTGGCAGTGGAGAGAGCCTTCAGCTGCTAGCCATTCTGTAGGATATGGTGTAGAGCGCGACTCTACATGTTGAGGCGTTTCTACTTTACTCTCAGCACCCAGGCTCAGTTTACGTAGCCCAGCTGCCATGAAGCTCGGCTTTAACAAGATGTAGGTGGAACTCAGTAAATACTAACATTAAGTTTCAACACTGTTTATTAAAAATGAAATTACTTAGTCTATACATCACCGGTCTTATAAACTTACCACTGTATTCGATGCATCGCATTGAATTACAGTAATCAATAAAATGCCACTACATTCCGTTCGAATGAAAATAAACAACATTTTTAAGTCAAATTACCTGACTCACTCAGAGAAACACTGGAGTATTAATCGTAAACTCTGAGCGTAAGTTACCCCCTTACCTCCCTTAACAATTACCGTAGTAATATATAACTATTAGCTTCGCTACAGTCCGACCCGAAGACCGGACACGAGAAGAGGCGTAGTCTCGTTCACGTATAAAAAACATTCTGCTCATCGAGCACACGCTGCCAGGTAAACGTCGAAGCCCCTGTCCTACACGGACGCATTTATATAACGCTCAGACCGAGCGCGACTAAAGGACCGAGACTAGAGAGTAGGAGACGGACGAAGAGCGCGCACGCATACACGAAGGGGATACGTGCCTTAACTGCAGTTGAGTGTGCAACAGAAGAGGAGAGAGAGGCAAGAGCGAGAGGATGAGACTTGAGAGGAAGTTAGGAGGAGAGGGATTTTGTGAATGACCATTGATAGTTCGACTACGTTACTTGTGTTAATCTTATTATATTGTGATGGATTGTTAATGAAGACTCCGATGACGGAGAGGATCGAGCAGCGTGGGTGTATATAGCCGAGAGGGACGAAGAGAGGAGAGCCATGTGACGAGACGAAAGAGCAAGTAGTCAAGAACGAGAGAAAGGAGAGAAAGAGAAGAAGAGCAAGAAGAAGAAGAAACGAGACTGACGAGAGAGAAGAGCGAGAGGAGAAGAGAGGAGGCCACCAGACCGAGGACGCAGGATGAATACCAGTGTCGGGATTGATGTCATTGTAGCACAGCTACCTAACCGGGGGGGTCAAGCACTGTTATCGTATAACCCTAGCGGATAGGCGGGTTGATGAATAAGGGAGGACATGAAATAAATAGTGAAACGATAGCTCCTGAGACAGTATTAGATCCAAGAGATAGGAAAACAAATAGGAAACAGTCTGCGTGCCAAACCGCTCAAGCAGCGCGATAGGTGCTCGTGTAGACGCTACGCGCATGTTCTTATCCCGGACGTTAAGCTAACGCGCGAGCAAGACTTTACTTAGGCCCGAGAAAACAGTGTAGGAACGGTGGCGCGGGGAACAGCATTAAAAAAGGGGGGCAAAGAAGTATAGGTTGATAGGGAGCGGAGGGACGCGAATGGATTTGCGATTAGAATGAAGAATAAGGTTGTGAACAGTGGTGGGCCGTTTGTTTTCTGTATTACAGTGCCGAAATAGGCTGTAAGGCAGCAAGCCACATGCTTTCTATACTGAGTAACACTACGCCATGTCTATAACGAAGCCTATAAGGTCGCGAAGACAAACCCCGACAATCACAAGCTTACTCGATGGCTCATCGTTCTATACAAAGCCCATCTGTACACTATTTTGGGTCATCACCCCAACAGATGCGCGTGAGGCTACGAGAGTAAAGCATAATCAATAGACTTTTTTAACCAAGAAGCGCGGCCACTGTCCCGCCCAGCCCGCCCGATTCGACCCGGCTGAAAATCCCTCAGAGTTGGTCGGGGCTGGAGCGGTCGTTGCGCGGCGTGTTAGACAACAGTCCCGATAACGCTAGTGCGTTACAGTGGTCTGGATTCGGTATCGACCTAACCCATGAGGCTGCCGCCAAGCTCGACGAAGTACGACATAACCGGAAAGCTAAGGGTAAATAGTCCGGTGGGTTCCATACGGAGTAACGTGTACAAACATCACAGCCGGATTACTATGGTCCTGCGCTTGCTATACCAAACCCGTAGCCAATCAACATCCCATAAGTGAACATGACATATTTAGAACCCCCGTTCCTATCGTGATACTTGCCGGCGCTAACGAGTATATCGAGTTGGACGTAATCCATGATCGGGCGTGATACGACTTCCTGAACTCTAAGATGTCTCTATCTATCATATCAAGCTTTACTACGATATAGTCACGTCCTTCCATCTGTTTCTGGTTCTGCCGACTGTACTACTTCTACGGCTCTTCTTTGTACGCAGCTATCCTACATCTCAAATTCGATACTGGGTAAGCGGCGAAGGCATGAACAACACGTCAGCCAGTGAATGCCGCGTTGGCGCGGTGACGGCGTGGATCGAGGCGGGCGAGACGGGTTTGAGTAGCGGGCTGCACCCATGTGAAGCGGCTTGATTTGTACCTGATGGAGCCACTGGCGCGCGCGGTCCGTGGGTAGTGGCAGACTTCGCTCCGACATCTCTCATAGCGCGGTGTCCCTGCAGATTGACGCGTCGATGGGTGCTCAATCAGCTGGAAATATTAGATTCTTTAACATAAGATAGTCACTCTGTGGAGCTAGGTGTTATAACCTTCAAATGCATATCCAGGCTTTAGCGTGGCGTCCGATATGTACATAAGGAGGATTTGTCTGAGGGCTCGAGTGCCTGAAGTTCCCTCCACTCCATCGTCTGCTGATTGGTCGGACGACTATCCGCAGAATCCCAGTGCACGGACCTTTAGGGTGCGCTTAAGGATGTAGAATGCTCGGATCGCAAGTCCTTTTCCGGCTCGTTATTGATGGTGAGGCTCCCAGTGATTGAATTGCTGGGTGAGGATGGGGCACGTAAGTTCAGTACAGGGTCATTCGCGCGGTGCGGGGGCCATGTGTGAGCGCGCCTAGGCTGATGGCGCTACATGCCGTGATTGAGCTCTGGGTGCGTTGGACCTGCGTCGTAAGGGCAGGCGATATTGGCCCTGCCGTGTCTGGTACGGTCGGGTCAGGAAATGGGAGAGGTGAGGAAGGCGGTATGTGAAGCACGATAGCGGAAGCCTGCGACCCGTGAGACACCAAACACCAGCCGCAGCTCGCCGTAAAGCGCGTTGCCTGTCTGAAGTCTACGTCTAGGCATAATGTGAGGTGTGAGGGGACGTTTGGGAAATTGGTATAATCATTTGTGGCCAGGTGTCGCACTGATTTGTATCAGGAGTGTACGTGGAATGGTACGTAGCGTCTAGGGCCTGTAGAATACTGTTGTTAGATCGACTTCATTAGTGAGATGGAGGTCAATGTATAGTAGATGTTGTTTTAGAGTAATTTACGTATAGTCATGTATGGCTTATCTCAATTCACTGGAAGCCGATGGTCACTCCGTGATCCTGGCTCCTACACCATGTCTGTTAATGATAGTATAGTCCATGCGTTTGATAGATGGATTTTAATGATATTTGAATGGTTAGTTATAGAGTCAGATAGAAGTTGTACTCATGATTGCGTCTAGTATCAGTGCTTATAGGCATGGTTGTAGATGTAGATCTACTA